AGGAATTAAAGACAGGTCAACAAAATAAATCTACTTTCGAACTCTCTAAGACACAAACTGTCACAAGATCGGGAAGACATGTTCACTTCCCAAAGAAACTTGCTTTTTACATTACAATTTAATAAAATTTCGAAATTTATTAATATTTCTTATTATTTCATTTTTATGAATGTGCATTATTACATTATCATATGGTGAGTCGCATTTTAATCTAATTTTATATCCTAATTTTGTTATTAAGAGGGTACTCGACAGAACGGATCGTCTGAAATATTTCATAATGTGACGTCGTTTCCTTTGAGTTGCCATCAAAGGGAATTGGGGGTTATAGCTCTGGTTTATAGCGATAAGGAGCGTGCCTTGCCCCCCCCCGCGTCTCTGCCGATAAATACTCAACTCTAAGGAGAAGTTTTTGGAAAAGCGCAGAGGGAGAGCAGAAACCGGCTGTCGAGGAGTAGTACGCATAACTGACTTGCAATAAGGACCAATTTTTATTGTGTATTATGTGAGCAGAGAGAATATTCATTGTGATATGGACAAGAATTTAGTGGATACGACAATGGTTTCTACATATACACATCACCGAAATATGGGAACAGACAATACAAGAGTATTGTTCAAATTTACCACAAGATTTATTAGTTTAATAACATTAAATAATAAATAAATAAATAAATTTTATATCTAAAAGATATGCATGGTAAAACACATACACCTAATTTTCTTTCATCTAGTATTTGAAAATTACTCTATTTCTGATATCCTATTAGAAGTTGCATTATCTTTACATAAATATATTTTTTTAATTTAATAGATCTTTACAGTAAAAGAGAATAGATTGGTGCATATTTTAAAATAAATAGTCATATTTACGCGGATAATTTTCATATTATGTAATTGTGCAAAGCTAGCTGATTAAATGAGCACAGTAAAGCATACAATGGCGATATGTCAAGAAGGGATGACTTTACAAAGAATTTCATAAGGAATTCGGTCTTATATTAATGTTACACATGAAGACCACCTCCCATGCCATAAGCACACTATATTGTCAGGAAAATATTCCAAGAAAAAGAACCAGTTTTAAACAGCTTTATCAGCTCAAGTAACAGTGGACTTTCTTAAGCATACAGCTTTCCTAGAAAATTTGTGTCATCTATGCAAGAGCTTTTCTGAAGTATCTTCGTATTGAATCTATACATTCCTATTCCTATTACATCTTGAAAGATGTAATAGGAATGATGTGCTTTAAGGGGTAGGAGAATATGGCAACAACTGTAAAGGGCAAGAAAACATAAATTTTCAATAGTAAAATAAGCAGTAATAATTAAATAGTAAAATAAGCAGTCAAAAGTGAATGCTGGTACCCAATAAGTATGAAGCACATGGTGAAAATTAATATTACTAATCATGCATACTTACAAGAATAATTGTCGACATTCATAAGAATTGTTCAAATGAATGACCATCAACTACAAAACAGGCATCACAGCAGTGTCAAAGCGATTACTGTGCTCTTTGGAAAACACCCAAACATATCACATACTTTCATAGTAGTGATGAAAATTCTGCTGGCACAATCTTCAGGAAAGTCAGTCTGGTCAATGTGATGTATGTATTGCAGTTACTGGTTATCCATTTAAAAAAATTTGTAAATGTCAAACAATACTTCCAGCAAATATCCATGACAAAAGATTTTGCTTTTCATAGTCATAGTTACAGTGTTTCAATAATCATATTTCACCTCACAGTGCAGTATGAAAATTGCTACTTTGTTATTATCTATCACCTGTTACAGCTCTGACCATCAAACATTATTCTTACACTACGGACTGCCTGATTTAAATAATTTCACCTTGCTCTCTTACAGATGTTACATACAAAGATATTAATTTAGTTTTAAAACTCATTCCAAATTCAGCTGAGAAAAGTAAGTTTTATTTTAAGCATAACTGTTATTCTATATTTATGTCTTTTTCTATATTGTAAAAAATGCATCTACATAATTGGGGTTAAGCATTAATTTAAATTGCACCTGCTCAATTTTTGTTTTGTTTTGTTTATTTTCATAGCTTCTAAAAGGAAAAATTATTCCTAAACCTGTGAAACTGATGTTTAAAATTGGGCATTTTATTTTATTTAACAATTATTAAATAAAATAATTGACAGAGGCAGCAAATAAATAAAAATTTGTAATTTATCGTTAGTAAAAGGAAAGAATCCAGTATTGATAAAATATACATTTTTACAAATAATTAATTAATATTTACAAGTAATCTTTTAACTCTTCAAAATCCTCCATTACCCTCCAGTTCAGGTTTAAGGTAGTATTATAATACCATAAAGAGTTAAAAAATTAAAAAGAAAAGTTAATGCCTGCCTTTTTAATGTAGAAAAATTAATAAATTGTGTTGGAACCTGGTTATTAACTTGAACATTAATTAGTTTTATTATTTCTTCCTTTAAATCTTCTATTTCAGTACATATACTTTTAATTCTAATTATTTGGCTATAAAAAGAGTTACCTATTACTTTTTTAGAGATATTATAGTTCCAATTAATTAGTTTAATAGTTTCAAACTGGAATGCCCTCCTTTTATCATATAATTTAATTTTGTTGTGTTTAATTATGAGCAGGTCTAGGTATTCAATATTATCTTGATTCGTATTAGTTCTATTAAGTGTTAAACTATCTGGGTAAATTTTGAATTGCTCAAAAGCAGTATTATTATTGAAAGTTAGTTATAATATCAATGTATCTAAATGTATTTGCAAATAACTTTAATTCATTCTTATTCAAACTAAGTTGGAATTTATATTCATTAGCAAAAAGAAATGGGTTACATATTTGTGTAGAACTGTTCGCTCCCGTTAGATTTCCTTTCACCTGCTGAAAGATCTTATTATTGAATTTAATGTAGTTATTAAATAATGCACAATGGAAGTAAGTTTTCCATTTTTCAATTCAGAGGATGCTTAGCATGTCAGGAAAAAGTTGTGGGAATTGCATTAAACTAGTATAAATTTCGTCCAATGGTAGAGAAGTATAAAGGTTTTCAAAGTCATAGCAGTTAATGTTCTTGATTTCTAAACTTTTAAATTTGTTGAGAACTGTAGCGGTATTATAATTAATTCAACTATAGTTGTGCTGCTTGTTAACTAGGTAACGAATTAAAATACTGATTTTTTAAAGTTTAATTGCAAATATGTAAGCTATATTCTTTTTATAATTATTTTTATCATTTGCTATAAATCTAAATTTGAGCGGTGATTCATGGAATTTTGGAAGAGCATACAGATTTGCTAATCTACAAATTACACAACCATCTAACTACTTACCATCTAACTACGTATTGTAGTTAGATGGTTGTATAATTTGTAGTTTGTTATGAATTGCTTTAAGCTTTTTTGCTATGACATTTTCTTGTGTATTGATAAGTTTGTGAGTAATGGCATTATTCAGTTCATTAGTGAGACATAAAAAAATTTCAAATAATGCTGAAATTATAACTGGCTTTGTCAATTTTGGCGATTACGAATTTTTGTTTCAAATCTTGTATTAGAGGATTGAGAAAATTCCAAAGTAAATTGCTGTTAAATTCAATCCTTTGAGTTCATTTCTTCTAACACTACATGTTTCCAAGCCATAAAGGCAGAATTTGGAATATTTAATTTGTAACTAGTTTTAACTATGAACCCGTCAAGATTTTTTTCAAAACTTCTAAAACATTGACTTTTGCCAATTTTCAGTACTGGTCAAAATTTTGTACCTTTTTTCATTACATGTCTTAAAAGCTGGTTTTGAGCCACTGTTAAATTGCCAGTATCGATATGTTTATGAAATTCGTCTACATAGTCTTTATATTGAAGTTCTTTGCAGTATTAATGGGCTGTAGAAGCTAGATCATGGTGGTTAATTCGAAATTTGCCATAAGGTTTTTAATGCTTGAAAGCTAGTGAGATTTGTACTTTAGTAGCTGGAAATTGTTGTAGACATTTTCTGAAAATTTTGCTGAACTGAATATTGTCATAGTTCGGATGTAGGAAGTTGAATGTGCAGTAATATTTATTGCACTTGTTAGTGGTAGAGAATTTAAAATTGCAAAAATCTATAACAAGGTCTTTGATTATATTGGGTTCCGTAAATTGCTGTTGAACAAAATTTATAAGTTTCATTAAGAATTTGTGCTTACAAGTATGCAACCAATAATGATATTTTTGGTGAAATTTTCAGTTAGAAAGTAATTATTAATATTATTGCTTAACTTTACTGTATCTATTGTATAAAATAATTTATTTTTCTGTTTATTATCTGCTCTGGTCCCTTGTAATTTTTTTTACTGAATAATTTAAAGTGGCTGTAAGTTGGAATTGCAGAATTTAATTGAATGTATTGGTTGAAAGTATTTCGCCCATATGGGTAAAGTGTTTTGAATTTAAGCATGTAGAGTGACTCTTGAAATAATCTTTCTTTGTATTCAGGCACAATGTCCAAAATTTGAACAGTAATTTTGCTGAAATCCTGTATTACAATTATTTCAGCCTACATACAGTCTATAAATCGGATTTACGAATCTCTTTCATTATTTTCATAAAATTTAGTTATTTAAATCTAACACTTATGTTTATTTTTGGGTAAGGTATTTTAAATTGATTTTGAAAACAGAAAAATTGCTTGATGATGGTGATAAAGTTTTGCCCATTTTTTTTTTTATTTCCGAAATATTACACACTGCATTATATAGCATAGCATTTAAAATAATGCACATTTTTTGTTTGTTAAATTTTTATGCATTTATATATCTAACACGGAAAACGTTTTTGTTGCTGATGCTTTGAATTATTATGTTTCAAGAGGTTTTACAACTATAGATAAAACCTTTTACATATGTTTCAACAGATATCATTATTCAAACGTGTTTAAATTTTTATGCAGAGGCTAATGTTAGAGGTGAGAGAAATTTTGCAATACTTTAGCTAATTTATTACTTAATGTATACCTTTATAATGAAAGTCACCTGGTTCAAATATGTGGGGAATTGTTCCCCTTTCTCCAACAGATGGCAGCACTATCCAGAACGTCATTTCTTTTGCCATCACAAAGAACATTCTGGGATTTAGAGAGCGTTCTGTTTCTGAACGATGCTATGAGACCAGCATATGATGTAGTCTCTGTAATAACAAAAGCAATAATTAATAATTAAAATTATGTAGTTGTTAAAGAATTGTGCTTTATGCTGTTAGCATTTTTTCTTCTTTACACAAGAAACTTATGCAACCGATCTGATTATAAAAATATGTGGCACTGCAAACAACCGCCGTCACTACAACTGATGACCCTGTGAAAATTATAATAGCAAGGTCCTGCACAAGATTATCTACTTCTCAACGAATGCTTTTCTTCACATTGTGAAAATTTAATAGAACTATTATTGTTCAGAGTCACATTATTCTTACTTCCGTTTTGCATCTCTATGCAAACCAAAATTGCCTTGCATTATTCTTACAAAGCAGACAGCTACTCGGATTATTTGCTATTACGTACTCAGCTTCCTGCGAAATTTGTGAGAAATTTCCTTTTTTAATCCCCGTGGACTGTAAATAACATTCGTAATCAAATTTTAGTTACGTATCAAATTGAGCTATGTCGTTGAGTTCTAAATAATTCTTTTTCTTGCATTATTTTTATTTTATGCAAATCATTTATATTTCTAGTACCAATATTATGCCAATTTAGTTTTTCTCACCACTAGTGAAATTCTGAGATTATATGTGTCACATTTATGTAAGCTTTTAATTTCACTTTCATATTTTATTCTTGTGTCATTTTCACATTACCGGAATTTTCTGTATTACATGTTGAATCGATTCCGTTACAATGTCTTTCTCGCAAGACAGTACATCCGAATAAATTTCACGTATGGTGGTAAAACCACCATCATTTTGGAAGAATAATCCCGTGCTATGGTTTATTCAGCTGGAATCACAGTTTGCTCTTGCTGATATTGCGGAGGATCTCACAAAATATAATTACGTAGTAACGGCAATCAACTGTGAAGCGCTTAACTCTGAATCGAATATAACACTCAATCTCCCGGATACAAATAAATATGATAGCCTCAAAAAATGCCTCATTGAGGCCCATTCTAAGAGTGAATCTGCTAAAATTAAAAAATTACTTCAGGGACTTGATATCGGCAATGAACGCCCTTCTCAACTACTCACACGTGTGCGTACGCTAGCTGGTCACAACGTGGGAGATCCCTTATTAAAGTCACTTTATGTTAATAGACTTCCTTTTAATACACAAACAATTTTGGCGGCTTTAAATGAAGACCTTTCAAATCTTGCAGCCGTGGCAGGTACATGAGCTATCCACATCCTCTACCTTAAACAATGTTAGTTTATCCCCAGATGCCAGTAGTAATTTGTTGGAACAAAAAAGAGCCGACTTGACCAAAGAGGTTAATGTAATAAAGGCATCAGTTAAGTGACATCATAATCGATTTCGGAGTCGTAACAGGAAACCTTGCACACGCAGCCCTTCACGAAATAACTCACAGCTTTGTAATAAGGATCATTGTTTGTATCATAAACAGATTTGGGGGATAAGGCAAGAAAACGTAACCCCCCTTGCACGTAAAAACAACCATAAAACTAGAACGGCATTCGCCCGCTGGCCACATTAGCGATCGCCTTATTAACCGTATCCTCTTGGTTGACCCCAAATCCTAGTTACACTTTCTTATAGACACTGGCGTCGACATTTCAGCCTTCCCTAGATGATGTGGCCCTGACTCAATAAAGTCAGACAAATTCGTTTTGTATGCAGCAAACGCTAGCCAAACTTCGAGCTATGGTAACAAGCGCCTTACCTTCGATTTTTGGTTAAGACGTCTTTTTCACTTGGGATTTCGTAGTGGCTGATGTGAAACAACCAATCATCGGAACTGACTTTGTACAGCACTTTGATTTGCTAACTGATGCCCTGAACTATTGCTTAGCTTACACAAAAAGTCCCAGTTGACCTCTCATGGCACAATTTCTGATTATAACCAATATCATCTAAATTAGCCATCCTTCTTCAGGACTGCAAATTCTCACAGATCCTCTCTCAGTATCTGCAGCTCACCAACTCTTTGCAACCCAATCAAGACCCTCAAACCCCTGTAATTTATCATTTTATTGAGACTAAAGTACCACCAGTCTACCAAGCCGTGGCGTCTGTCCGCCAATATCCCCCAAGCCATGCAAAAGAATTCGAATTCCTCATGTCTCAGCGTGTTATTCTGCCATCCAAGAGTCCATGGGATATCCTTCTTCATATGGTCAAAAAGCCAAATGGTGAGTGGCGTCCCTGTGGTGATTACCACTCAATACAGCCATTGTACCCAATGCCTCACATCCAAGATTGTAGTTTTTTAATGGAAAAACATCATTTCAACTCTCGACCTTGCCTGTGCATATTATCAGATTCCAGTGCATCCTGATGATATTGAAAAAACGGCAGTAACTACCCCTTTTAGCCTAACTGAATTTGTTCATATGCCTCTTGGCCTAGGCAAACCTTCCAGTGTTACACACACTAAGGCTTGTCCAGTTTAGACTGTTGTGTAGCCTATTTAGATGATATAATAGTAACCTCCAAGGATGTGGACGAACACGCTAGGCACTTGCATCAAGTTTTCTCTATTTTGCGTGACCAATGTTTAATGCTAAACCTCGAAAAATGCATACTTGGACAGACCACTGTCTCATTCTTGGGTTGCCTAATAACCCCCTCTGGCGTTCAGCAGCGCTCAGTCCCTTGAACTGAGGAGACCACCGCACTGTTTGAAAAATGCAAAGCTTTTCTCACGTAAGCCACAACCCTAGGCCTCTATGCATGTGGTCTGCAATTGTCCCTGATGGAAAATGCATCTGACGTCGCCAATTCAAATGGTTCAACAACAAAGTTGACCAACCACTCGATTTTTTTCACGGGTACATTCTCCGGTGAAGCAGGCATACACGAGGTACTCTTCCATCAAATATTTTCTTCTTATGCCAGAAGGTCAAAGATTTATTATTATTATTATTATTACGGACTTTTGCTTTTACCAAAAATATCTGACTGCATGCCCCAGATAATTACGTCAACTTAACTATATAGCTCACATCTCGACAAACATAACAGCATGTTGTTAAGACAGATAATGTTTTCGAAGATACTTTGTCCCGCATCCACGGAATCGATGCCGAAGGTCCCGCTGATTTTGCAGCTATTGCAGTCGACCAAACAATAGACGGCGAACTCAAGTCTCTTCTCAGTGATCGTAATTGTTCACTGAAGTTGCAAACACTAAAACTCAGCCCTGATTTACAAATATTCTGTGACACGAGTGATAGGCGGATCAGACCTTATGTTACGCCTAAATTTCACAGACATATCTTCAACTCGCTGCACAACCTCTCATACCAAGCCTTTGCGCTACTAAAAGACTTGTTCTTGCACGTTTCCCTTGGCCATTAATCTCCATGGATATTGCCTTTAGTCTCCTGCCCGTATCCAGTCCAGCGATCCAAGATCTCTTGACATACTAAGAGCCCACTTCAAACTTTTCCGTCCACAACACAACGGTTCGACCATGTACATGTCGACTTGGTTGGCCCTCTTCCGCCTGCACCTGGTCCAACTTGAAAACCCCTAGATTAATCATTCAAAAATTTCAATAGACATGTAGCATACAATTTTGGCAACAGTTTTAGGAAGCTGAAAAACGTTCCAAGCTCTGCCTTTGTTAGAATTACAGAAATAGATCCACTTTTCACTGGATATGCACTTCAGGAAACAAATTTTACAAAACACCTTTAATACATTAGACTCAGGGTTAACTTCCTTCCATAAACTGAAATTGAACACAAGATACAATTGTAGCCTAACACATTTATATGCAAATACTCAAAATCTTTTGATTCATTCTAATGCATTTTTTTAGTTTCAAACAAAAAATGCTAAAAACTAACATGTCTGTTTTTTTTTTTTTTTTTTTTTCCCATCACGAAGATTTTTGCAGGTGTAAATTATGTTATCAATATACAAAAGCCCGAATTGATCACTCAATACTGCCCTACAAAGTAACTAAACTTCCTGATTGATTAGATAGCTTTTTTTTTTTTTTGGTGGAAAATTTGTGTCACAATTTCACTGAACAGTGGCACCTAAGAAAAAATAATTCAGTTTGATGAAAAGCTCCAGGTAGCAATTTGAAAGGATATTTGTAGCAGCAAAAGCATACATGATAAGGATCAATCACATATTCTGGAGTATGTTATTTAACGTTAGAAATTACATCATTTCAATCAGAAGCAAGAAATGGCTAAGACTTGCAAATCAATTTATTTGAATTTTTATCTAATGCAATTGATGTCCTAAATTTAAATTAGCAATTTTTATAATTTCTTGTATTTTTTTATAAAACAATCCAATTCACACAAGTCCCTTTTATCTTGGCCAGCGACAAGAATGAATATAACTATCTCCAGCACTCCTTGGGAGTGCGTATATGAGGGCAATTTGAGAGACTCAACGCATTCTAAAGGTAAAAAGAGAAAAAAATATTTCTAATCAATGTAAAAATAATGACTGCTTGAAATTTAGAAAAAGTATTTGAAAGAAATTTTTAACTGCATTTAATGCATTAACTACCAGGGCTGTGGCGTCGGTAGGGAAAATGACCGACTCCTGGAATTTTAATGAATCCGACAAATTAAAAGGGCAAAGAAAGTCATCCATGAACTTTCATTAAGAATGAAATTATTCTCAGAACAACTGGAGAATTCGAATAAGGACAGTCAAACTGCAGATATTGAAATTGAGTCTCTATCATTCTTTTCTAGTGATGAATTCAATTTTGAGAAATATTTTTGCATAATATTGAAAAGGCTAAGGCAAAGCGAATGAAAATAAAGAACCAAGAGCCTTTAGATATAAAAATGAAAAACTACAAACAAGATTTCTACACAACCTTTGAAGAAATAGGGAAATATGATTGCGCTTGCAAGACACCTCTTTTAGAACTTACAAAAATCTATCCTGAAAAGTTAAAAGAAGTAGCTCTTCCTAACAGTAACAGCTCTTCCTCCTACTCAAATTAGTGTGGAAAGACTCTTCTCAGCTCTGAAATTTATCAAATCGGATCTATGGGTCTCCAACAAAGAAGATCTTGCCGAAGCTATACTGTTTCTTAGAAATGACTAATGCCAGTTTTTCTATTTCATAATAAATGCTAATTAATATAAATATTTTGCTATGTCATCTATTTTTTTTTTTTTTCTGTAGCATCTATTACTTCTTTTATATTAAATAAATAAGCTGTAACCCATACTACGTATATATTATTCATTATGTTTACATATATATATTTAAACATAATGAATAATAATGAAAGTTCATAGAAGACTTTCTTTGCCTTTTTAATTTCTTCGTCATCCAAGAAAATTCGCTGTTTCAGATCTACATACACTGATGTGCAAAAATTAAGGACGAGACGGTTTTTTTCAATATAACTTTGTACAAAAGCTTTCCAAATCAACACATTTAATACCGTAAGATCCCCAATACGTAAGGACATGAGTAATGTAAGCAACACTTACTAAAAGAGAAATCAGAGGGATAAAAAGAAGCTTTATTGAAAAAGTAGCATGGAGCGCAATGCGACTGAACGACTGAAGGCCGAAACATCCCTGTGATGGGTGTTCAGCAAGAAACATCCGGTCTTTAATAGGGGATATGATCTCCCCTGACTGCTAGGCAGGTTTCACAGCGTCTGCACATGCTGCGAATGAGGGTGTCAATGAGTTGTTGAGGCATTGCTGCCCATTCGTCTTGCAGCGCCAATCGAAGCTCCGGAATCGTTACTGGTGGTAAGGTACGAGCTGCCAAGCGTCTGCCTAGAGAAAATCCCATACATGCTCGATGGGATTGAGATCCGGAGATCGTGCCGGCCAATCCATACGTTCAATATCCTCACTCTCTAAGAGCTGTTCGGCAGCTACTGTGCGATGACATGGTGCATTGTCGTCCATGAAAAGGAACTGCGGACCCATAGCGCCTCTAAAAAGACGCACATATGGAAGAAGAATCTCGTTACAATAACGGGTCCCGTTGACTGAACCTGCGTCGAAGATGTGAAGGTCTGTACGACTACCAAGCATGATGCCTCCCCAAACGAGAACACCGCCATCTCCATACCTGTCCCTTTCAATGATGTTCGAGGGATGATTGCGGCATCCCCGCTCTGTCCAGATGAGTATGCGATGAGAATCACTACTCAGACTGAATCTGCTCTCATCTGTAAAGAGTACTCGTCACCATTTATTGTCTCTCCAATTCCGGTGTTCCCGACACCACACAGAACGCCTTCTCCGATGGGCAGGCGTTAGAGGTACACACCGTACAGGGCGTCGTGCAAACAGACCACCACCGTGCAGTCTTCTGGCCACGGTAAAACGCGATATCGGTCCATTCACCTGTGTCGTGTGTCTAGCGATTTCTCCCGCTGTCTGCCGCCTGTTTCTTCTGGCCTGTAAGGCAATATACCGGTCATCTGCGGGTGTGGTTCCTCGTGGACGACCACTACTAAACCCCCGGATAGCTGTTCCTGTAGTTTGAAATTGTCTCCAAAGTCGTGAAACGATGCTGTGAGCAATTCCGAACTCTGAAGCCACACTTGTCACACTGCGGCCTTCCTCCAACTTCCCAATGATTCGACCTCGGGTAAAAGCATCCAGATGTCGTCTAACAGACTGATTATTCGCCATTTCTCGCTGAGGCAGAAACTCGGTGTGATTTTAACTGCTATACGGCGTGCAATCTCTTTGCCAGAAATACTGATCTTACACCGACAGCATGCTTTATACTACTCAGACACTCCCCCATTACGTCTAACTGCATATCTGCGCATGTGCTACCGTACATCACCTTACTTAATTTCCTGATTGGTCTTTCTGTCCGCTCTGCCTCTTCGTTCAGCTGATATGCTAATTTTTCGACTTCGTCCTTAATTTTTGCACACCAGTGTATATTGACCCAGCAAGATCTCATTGTCTAGCAAACTGGTTTCTCTTTTCTTTATTGAAGAAATGTTTCCTTCTGCAATAAACGCTCCATTTCAGAAAGAACAAACATCTCATTTTTCCATTCTCGCTTCCTGTTAATTCTTCAGATTGCAGCTTTTTTGTGGCTATATATGGTGTAGAAAGAAGAGTTTCCAATTCTGCAAGATCATTCCACAGTCTTTCTGTTAGTGAAACATTAGGATTATCTACTTCTTCTAAAAAAGTTCTTAATTCTAAAACCTCTTTATCATCAAATATGCACTTTCCCTTAGCACGTTGCTTGATCATAATTGCTCCTTTTCCTGCTCGCTTCCTAAGAATGGCATCAATTTTATTTCCTACAAATACCATCAAAGTTCTTGCTACTATTCCTGCTTACCTAAATTTACCAGTGAGATTTGTAACTAGATGAATCAGTTTAATTGCTAATGGCAAATATCACATCTATCCTTATATTTATTTTTTAATAAGTCAATAAAATAGAAAATAACTATTTATTAATGTATACAGTTCGTAAATAAAAATAATAATTCAGCTTGTCATTAATTTTTTTTAATTCATTTTAATTTCATTTCAAATTCAAACTGTCCAACAAAAACTGGAGTCGGAGTCGACTTGTTTTTAGCGAATCCTGCTCCGACTCCTTTTACCCCCAAACCTGCCCGACTCCACAGCCTTGTTAACTACTGACAGGATCAAGTCTTCATAAGGCAGTGATTATGACGTTGAAACAAGGGTATAAAAAGAGGGAAAATTTTCACTAACATTTGGAGATAAATGCTGTACAATGAGGAATTATTATAAGAAAAATATCCTCCATAAGTAACATATCCTTAAATGCTGAAAGATCTTTTACTTAAGGTGGGGACACCTGTTTTACCTAATAGGTTTCAGAAATTTTGAAAGTTTAAGGTTGAGAGTACCGTAAAAAAATTTCAATCACGCTTACAATGTGTGTTGGTGCTAAAATTCATTCATTTCTACAAGTAAATGGCTGACTTTTGGAAAAACGTGTTACAATTAAAAAAGCTAAACAAAGGTAGGTTTTTTTTTTATCAACATTTATTTAAGAATGCCATAAGTTATCAGATTAAATTATTTAGGAAATTAAAGGAACATTATTTTTCTTCACTGATGGGCTTGTGACTTATAACTGCTATCTTTATATATACATAAATAAATCAAAGGGAAAAAAAATCAAAAAAAAAAAAAAAAGGGGGGGGAAGATGATCTCCTCTTCCCGTCAGACATTAAAATCCAGAGCTGCCCCAAACACTGTTTAAGTTTTCTTAATTGTACTAAATTTTATCCACAAGTAACAGCCATGAAGAAGGTATTCTTAATTTTTGTATAAAATGAAAGTATTAAAGTACAGTGAATTCTCTTATGATGACTACCTCTGAGAGTAAAATACTATTTTCTAACATAATCACACTTTAACATCACTCATTCCAACAAAAGTGTGTTAAAGCAGGTATCAAAATGTTTAATTTCACTATCAAATTGAAATATCTAAATTAATCAAGGAGTTACACTTCCGATAGCAGAACTATTTTCATAGAAACAATAGTTAACTATTCATTAATTATTTTTACTCTTTCTCAGTATGGTGTCATTTATCCTACAGGCTTGATGATTAAAAGGTTATTATACAGTACTTTTAAACAATACTTTTAAATAGTTCATTATACTATTACTAAGTTGTTAATACTGATTCTTTCGTGTGTATAGTTAGTAACATATAGTAAATCAATATTCACTGTACCTCTCTAAGAAAATTTATTTATATATTTAAAATAATCTTAGTAATGTTACACACAGACATAAGTCTTAGTTCTTAAACTGAAAAACACTAGAATCATCTCTCCGTAAGGCAATCAGCTACATATACCACCTGTTGAAAAAATATCAAACCTTTGGTTGGCAAAAATACACTTATTGATTTGGAAAACAAACATTAATTACCTTCAAAGTAGTCTCCCTAGTAATGGATACACTTCTCCCAGTGCTCCTGCTATTGTTGGAAACACCTCTGGAATGCAGTTTTTGAAATGGTGAGCAATTGTTCCATCACATTCCGCATATCTTCTGCTAACTCAAATCGGGTCCCTTTATCAGCATTTTCAGCCAAAAATCACACGGAGCCAAGTCAGGTGAGTACGAAGCCTATAACAAATCAATATTTGGTTTCATTTCCAATTTTGACATTATTGCATTTGATAACGTTTGAGGTTAACAATAGTTTAATGCCCACCTTTTTTTAATTTCATAAACCTTTTATTAATAACCTTACATTAAAATGTTACATTAAATTCATTGCACAAATTAAAATTATTAAATTTAGAAACGCAGGAGTTATTAAGAGGTTGCCTATCATCTTCACAACAAAAGAAGTTTGTACAAAAAGTAAAAATGTAATAAAAATTATACCCAAATATCATTAAAAGAAGGAAGAAGCAATAAAAGATGAGAGGCTAAAATACAAAATATGAAACTTTCAGTCATATAAAGAAATAAATGGTTTAACTTTCTTTTCTTACTTAATTAAAAGTAAATGCATTCTCACATTTACTTTTAATTCCATTCAAGAAATTATGCCACCTATCAAGGAAATAGGCAGGTTAAAAAAATAGTCAAATCCAGTTTAGTCAGTTCTGGCAGTGGGGTGACATCTATTGTATGGACATAATTTTCGCTCGAAGTCACGTACTACAAAAGCAAAGTTTTAGCTTTACTCTTAACTGTGTATAATGTATTTTTATTTTCAATACAGTGATTTAACATAATTTTGTTATAGCAGCAGTGATTTAACATAATTTTGTCATAGCAGCAATGTCTTCTCACATTTCCTTTTAACCACTACATGAGAACTCATGCCAACCACCAAAACTTAAATGACTAATGGGAAAAAATGCTGAATTATTAAAATTCTTCTTACAAAAATCTATAATGACTACATCAAACGAAGAAATCCTTTGTAAGAAAAGTTTGATTAGCAAAAATGTGCCACTTAAACCGCAGTGTTATAAAAAAATGCATGTTTAATAATGAATTCAAATGATACAACTAATTAACTCCAATGGTTTATGCTGTGAGCAAAAGATTATGATTTTAAGAACACTTATAGCATCAGTCAGATGTCCACTTCTCACAGTCATTACTCATTATATCAGTACATTTAAAGATTCTACTGTACTATAAGACAATAAATTGTCAATGGACGTGTCGATGTTTTACGTAGCAGAGAACCACCGTTAATAATAAACAATTCATTACAGCTAAGGTGTTTAAAAAATATCAGTGCGTGATCCATCCCCCCCCCCAATTCATGCAGGCAAATAATGTACTGCACTGAAATGCATTGTCTAACACAGGGCTTCCTTAAACTTTTTTCAGTTGCGACTCCTTTTTATCACTGAGACTTTTTCGGGACTTCCACAACCCCATAATATTTACGAAAATTTTGTGGAACCCCATAAACACTGCGTAAATCCGACACACGCGTGTGTGAAACTGTCAATTTTTTCTGTAATATACTATTGCAGTTTTAGGTCATTAACTTTAATTTCTAATTTTAAGACATAGAACAATGTGAACATTTTAAAATAAATAACAGACGAAATGACAGCGTCAAGCGAAAAGCAAGTAAAATGAACGTTTCATAAAAAAGGAATGCATTTATAAAAAATAAATAAATAAAAAAAAAATTTTTAAAAAAATGCGTCGAAACGTTTTCCTTTGTCTGTATTGTCTATCTTTATCTATTTTCAGATACATTGTGTAAAAATATTTGGTAATTGTAAAATTATTATAAGAAGTATCAAAACTGCTAAATTTTTTGCGGCCCACAGTTTAAGAAACGCTGGTCTAACACATTGTCATGTATTTAGCCTGTATATCATATTAAGTCTTCTTATCATATTAAGACTGGAAACTTCCTTGTAGATATCTCCCCACTCCCTATTCCACCAGTCTAATTTCTTCCTGTTTTTCCTTTGCTGGGAAAGTTGAATCACTTCGTTTCTTCCTGCACTAATCTCGGACAGTCTGAACGTAAGGCATGCTACTACTTGCTTGGTAGACCTCCAACCATTACTCGAGAAAAAGTTTAATGGTTGAAGTTAGTTATATTTATTGTGTCTCCCAAGGACAGACCCAGGGAATATGCCAAAAATGCATGAAGATAATTTTGATAATACGGCTTTTGGTCTAAAAGCTTTCAATTGATGCCAAATGAGAGGATGCCCCATTTGTTAAATCCCTTTGAAGTGAGATGGCGCTGCCATCGCTACTGTTAAAAAAGAGAATGTCATTTTATTTATTTATTTATTTGGCTTCAATGGCGGAGTGCGTGTGGTTGGTTGCCCGAGTGTCTTCTACAAATGAGTAAACTTAAAAATGATAAAATATTATAGTTTAGTTTGTTAATTAGTTAGTTAAATTAGAGTGCAGACCATTTTATTTAATTCGCCGGACCATTTTGAGTGGTCCTGTACAGACGAAGCGATATCAGCTAAGTAAATAAGCTAGTTGTACAACAGGGATTTTGCCATTTTGCTTCCAGAGAATTTATGTTTGTGGATTGCAGCCAGATGCTGAAAGAGAGGGGTAAGTAACCCTTGAAAATCTGTTCATTATTAACTGTTGCATTTAGTAAATTCTGAATTAAGTTTGCGCGGTAGTTTGTTATTATTCATAAGTGTAGCGAAAATGGCTACGAAATTGAAAGATGTTCTCACTAAAAAGAGAATTAAAAAAAACTTACTTACCGAAATTGCAAAAGAAAATTTCTGAGCCAGATTTAAGTGTTAGTGACTTAGAATGGTTTAAAACTAAATTTAACAATTTGCAAAATGAATTTGATAATATTTTTGATTTCATTATTAATTTAAGCAGTGATCTTCTTAAGTAAAATCTTCAGTGAGTAAGATGAAATCAATAGCAGTCTTACTGATATAGAACTTGAAATACTAAATAATAGATTGTCAAACAGAATAAATTGGAAAATACAAAAATTTCTGAAAATCCTGTTGTGCTTTTACCTACATTTTTCAGGAGAACTGCATTCTTGGCTTTCCTTTAAGGATATTTTTAAAGCGAGTATTGATCAGAACCCATATTTATCAGATGCTGTAAAATTGCAAAATCTGAAATCACCACTGAAAGGAGATGCCTTTAGAATAATCCAAACGACAGCTGCAACGGATACTAATTATAAGTTAGCATGGTCTCCCTCTGAGGAAAGAAACTCAAACCCTAGAGAACAAGTGTATGTACATCTCAAAAGATTTATGAGTATTCCCGTTATTCAAAACGAGTCAGTTTCTGCGATTCTAAATTTAATTGATGTTACAAGTGAAGTTGTAAGATCATTAGACTGTCTAGAACAAAATTTAGATGGGGTTTCGTCCATTATATTTGTCTTTATTCTTAGCCAGAAACTTAATCAGAACACTAAGTTATGGTGGTGGGGGGGGGAAATCACAAATTTATTAGAATTTCTAAAAGATCACACGTGGACAATTCAAGTAATGTCCGAACGAAATCAACCAAAGGTTTCTTCGGTGGTTTCACGTGTGACTGAGAAACATATTATTTGGAAACTGAGTAATGCGGAACATAAATTATTTTAATGCCCTAAATTTCAAAAATTCAGCTTGAAAGATAGAGTATGTCAAAAAGCGCAATTTATGTTTCTGCTGTTTTGAAAATTATGGAGTGAGAAATTGCCCTTCAAATTACTCTTGTGGACTATGCAGAAAAAAACGCGCAAATGAGCGAGGAAAAGTATCGATTCCACAAAATAAAAGCAGTTGTAAAATCGCGTCTCCATCGGATCAAAAGTCAGACGCCAGTCAGTCTACGGAAAGCCCGAAACTAAACGTTCAAGAAGAGGCATTCATAAATAAGATATAACAAGTGTTTTATGATAGCTACTAATGTAAATAAAAATTGTAATAGAGTGAATAGAATCCTATTATCGACAACGATTGCGTACATTAAGGGAAATGAAGGGCAAACATTTCCAGCCACTTTGCTTGACAGTGGAAGTATGATCCATCTTTGTTCATCCGAATTAGCTGAAAAGCTTCATTTGCGAAAGGAAAATGTAAGCATATCAGTAGGATGTTTATCTGGGATTTCAACAACGGTGAAATCAAAAATGAGTGCGGTTATTTTAAATAGAGAAAAAACGTACAGTCGTAAACTAGATTTTTTCGTAATTTATAAAACTACTCATTTGATGCCTTCGAGACAAATAGATGTCAGTAATATTGCGATTCCACAAAGAGTTAGGTTATCTGACCCTGACTTTCACAAATTGTGTAGAATTCAGTTACTCCTTGGATCTGAAATATTTTTCGATTTGATAAGATCTGGGCAAATTCATGTATCCAATACAAATTTAGTGTTACAAAACTCAACATTTGGATATTTGATGAGCGGCAGCATTGAAGATTTACCACACGAGAAACAATTAATGCATAGTGGGTTAATTTATGACGATGCCGACACACAGTTGAAGAAGTTTTCTTGATTTGGAATATAAGTTGGTATTAGACATGATCCCAATTCGTACGATGAAGATAAAGCTTTAGAGATATTCAGTAAAGTTGATAGTTTCAAAGATGGGGGTTATGTTGTTAGCCTCCCCTGGAATAAAATTGGGAACATTTAAGGAACAATTTTGGTGTCGCAGAAAAATGAACAAAGATTCTGATGAGAAAAATGCAGCATGATAATGCATTATACGTAAAATACTGAGAAACTTACAGTCGTATCTAAATCAAGTATAAAAGAGTATCTAAATCAAGGGATAATAGAAAGAGTATTACATACTACGAAATCAGTAAACAAGCTAGTCTTTTACATGCCGCATCAAGCGGTTTATAGAGAAGAAAGCATTACGACAAAAAATGCGTATTGTATTTGATGCGAGCCCACATGAAATAGGTAATCTGTTCCTAAACGATTGTTTGTGGCCTGGTATTCATTTGAATCAAAATAAATTTCACTGCCTCTCATATTTTAAAAGAGTTGCAATCTTAGGAGATATCGAAAAGGCATTTTTACAGATCGTTTTGGTTGAGAGAGATCGAAATGCAGTTAGATTTTTATTTGTTAAGAATATTTATGATAAGTTAGAAGTGTATAGATTTAAACGT